CTGTCATGATTGCCACTGATTTTGATAGGTATAAAATTAACAAAGAGAATTTGAAAATTAAGTATATTTAACTACTGAAATCACCGGATTATGTGGTGAGGTGCAGAGACTTTACATTTGAAAATTATTTGATTTTTTTATATGATTTTAAAAATTTTCGTAGTAGATCTCGATTTAGTGAGTTTTTTTTGTTTTTTGTCGGCCGATTTGGTGAGCTTCGTCTAGTGAATTTTGTATTAAGTTGGCTAACACCTAGGAAAAAAACATTTATAACAAAAAAAAACCTCAAAAAAAGCTACATAATTCGAGTTCTATTGAAATTTAGCAACCGTAACACGTGAGAGGCACGTAATATTGTCATATGCGTCAGGTCCCCAGTGATCTCATTGCTTACCCAATACTGGATAGAAAATTTTCAAAAAATACCGCTTTTCAAATGTCATTTTACAAAAATGTCACATTTTTGAAATTTTTACAAAAATGCCATTTTTTCAAAATTATTTTTTCTTTATATTATTTATGTTTGGGTTAATTATGTTCTATTAGGGTTTAGTTTTGAGTGTTTAGGGGGTTTTAGGTGTCAAAACATTTTTTAGGGNTTAGAATTTTAAGATGTAAGCTTTATAAATCTATAATTAGTGGCATTTTTGTAAATAGACACCCCTAAATGGCATTCTTGCAAATGTACACACAAAAAATGGCATTTTTGTAATTGCACCTACTAAATGTCTAACAAAAAAATAAAAAGTAATAATACAAAATATTTTTTTGGGCAATTTGCAAAAATGTTTAAAGACTAAATCTTAAAAATATAAACCCTAGAAAATGTTTTGATCCGTAAAACCCTTTAAATCTTCAAAACTAAACCCTAATACAACATAGTTAATCCAAACATACATAAATAATATAATAAAATTTTTTTTTTTAAATAACATTTTTACAAAATTTTTGAAAATGTGGCATTTTTGAAAAGTGACACTTGAAAAATAACATTTTTAAAAATTTCTCTACATTGCATGTATGTAAATCCACAGTTGGACGAACTTTACTACAAACAACAAAAGTAACCATTAATTTATTTTTCGTATTGACTACTTTCTATATGTTCTGATTTGTTTCCCTTTCTTTTATGTGAATTACTTATAATCTATTTTTCGTTTCGAAATTTTTAACAAAAAAAATGTTGTTTTAATCGCTGTCATTCATGCACATTAAAAAG